TTTAATGTAAGTGGCTATTGTTCAGGATGAACAATACTAAGGAAGGGGCAGTGTTACAACAGTGGAAGTCACGTGACGCTGGTAACACGTGATGAATTTCTCGAATGATCATGTATTATCGGGGAGGACCGAGTTTGTTTGAGACGCTCACTTTTTTTTTTAGTATATAAGCCTTTGGGATTGAATGAAGAGAGTTCTGAGTAATTTACGATTCTGTTTCGAGCTAGTGTGCATTTTCGAGATTGTGAATAGCTGTGATTTATTGCGTATTTTATAGAAGTTGTTAAGTTTAAAGTGACGATAAACGTACTGATTGTGAAATTACTGTGTGCTAAAAGTTTGTATCGAGGAAGAACAAACTGGTTTAACCAAGAAAGGACTTGTATCACTGAAGTTTCTTGGAAAGAATTTATACCGGAAATTGACAAACAAGCAGATACGTAACAGTGTAGTAGTTATTTTTTTCCTTTAACAAATTCAGGGCTACTAATAACAACAACCTTATTCTTCTCTAAAATTAACTGTAACAGTATCTTAATTATTTCATGTACTAAATTTTAATAAATATGTATAAAACTTCTGTGTTATGTTTTCTTTTCAAACATCACAACTCATTTTAATTACATGTAACAGTTGTTTTTAAGTTATTTCAAAAATGTTGAAAGATGCTTCATTTGGGTGGAAACTGGTATATCAAAGTCACAACACTTGGATTGACAAAGTCTATAGTACTTCACTATGAATGGCCACCTTATACTATAAAGGTTGTTTTATTATTAAAAGTTATGGTTCAAATATCAAAAGCTTGGTAAAGCATGAAGCCATTAGGCCTAACATTTGTTTTACTCATGGAAAAATTAAGAGAAATGTGGAAAATAATTTGCAGTTTACATGATTTTTATTTTAATATTACCTCTAATGAACAACCAACATAGTGCTAGTAAAACTGCATTGGGTGTGAATAAATAAAATGAGTCATCTAGACAATTCAGCATTACAACTCAAGCTCAGTTGAAAATGGTTGGAAAAATACTCAAATGGACATATTGTTCCAAAAACTATGACCAAACTAGTTACCCTGAAAGCTGTATTAACATTTATGGAAATTCATATCAAAAGTAACTTTGTGACACATATATTATTGTTCCAATGAAGGTAATATGATGAAATTGGATGGTTTTGTGTTTGATGGTGAAGGGTGTCAAAGAATAGACAAGATGACAGAAAGCTCTAGATGTAAAATACAGGTAGTCAGATAGTATGCTAACCAATTGTGTGATCTGTAAAAACAAGAGAAATGTATGTATGTTCATTTTAGGTAATTTAAACTAAAACTTTTACATTTTTTAAAATTTGTACTAAAGTCAATATTTCTTGTCAGTATCCCTCAATATTAATACAACATTATCATATTTAAATTACAGTAATATTAAAAAAAGCTCATGATTTTTGTATATAAATCATACAAACTAAGACATTCTTACAGTACATTCAAACTTTATCACTAATGATATCTGTATTCTCCTCTCCTAATATCTTCCAAGAGTTGAACTAATGACAAATGTGATCCTTCTAAAACATAGCTGCTATAACATCTCAGTAATCATGCTGCAATGTCCCAGTCATACTTTTAACATTACAGTTATTCAACCCACACAGATGATGAAGTACAGTATGCTATGTTTAAAAGGTAATCATAAAAATGTAACTAAACTACCAAAGAAATTACAAGTGAAATCTGAGGGAGTCGGTAGTCATTACTTCATAGCTTATTTATCCTAATTCTTATTAAGAAGTTTCAGGGAAGTATATGTCAAAATGGTCTTAATTCTGCTTGAAACTGACAGCAGAAAATGTTGTAAACTTTACTGTTTGCTGTAAATTAACATTTTTAACTGTACTAGAGTACACTAGACTCCAGCACAATATCAATTTATTATTCCGTCCTAAACTATGAGTCTTGGATTCACAGATGCTCATTAAATTTGATCTTAAATGGGAGACATACTACATGATTCTAATCATCAGAAGTTCTTCTGTGTTGCAAGCTCCTGAAAAATACCAGTTAATTGAATGGACTAACCTTGTAGTGGAGAAGAAAACTGCTAACTATAATTCCAAATTTATTTTGTGTACCTACATATGTAGCAAGCTTTTAGTAAAATGTACAAATTTGATGTACACAAAAAAGAATCAGATGTGTTACAAGATATGTCTATGAATTGACAACATAAGTCTGACTCAGACTTTGACAAATCAGACTGAAAGGTGATGTTCATGTGAGAAGAAAAATACTTTGGTCCATTGTACACTTTACGTATTTCATTTGTATAACCTCTATATTAAGCCCTGACAAATCCTGGGTGCCAGGTTTTCATGTCGACTAACAATTTCAACGTGGTGCCTAGTATTTTCTTCCATTTTATTTGTGTGTGGCGCTGTGCTAAATAGAATTCGAACCTAGAACAGTTCTGGACTCTTGGAAGTCCAGAACTATTTTCGCATTCTTCGAGTCCTAAATTGAACTTTGTTTCTATGATTTTAACGGCGGATTCAATACATGTTTTTTTAGAAATTAAGTGCTACCGTTGCACAACACATTACTAATTTCACGCCATTTTGTTTTTCTTCTTTCTCTAAGTTCAACCAATCAATGTGTGTGTGTGTTTAGACTCAGATGGGACCAAAGGCAGTTTGTTCAGGCAACACTATCACAAGTGGTCGTTAGCGTGCACTCGTTGCTGTGAAAGTAAATAAATATATGTATCCCTCATTTCCAGGTACAAACAGTAGTGAAGTTAGGTTAGGCACACCTGGCTCCTGAGTTTTTGGGCTGGCTTCTAGATCTCTATAGCCTATGAACAGTATATCTACAGTTGTTTTTCAGTATTTCTATATGCTGTATCTGGTACTTACTCTCCTCTAGCATGAACTGTCTCTTAATCAACAATGTAGGGTAAAATGAAAAACTGATAAGTCTTACATCAAATACAAAATACCATGTTGAACAGCACTATGTAAAAGTTGTAGTATGTGCACATAGTGTTAAAGCCACCACTAATTCTTTGCTAAACTTCAAGTTTTTAGGATAATACATGTAAAGACCAGGAAGTTTTCTCTTATGTTTCTCATCTTTTTATAAAACAGTTACTTTTTCTAGTGACATAAACGGAAGAACTTGTTATTCAACAAAATCAGTTTGCATGATGTGGTGGTATGTGCAGTTATTAAGAATGATTTTAAATTTATTTGGATAAATACACCATATGTGGATATAAAAAGCTATATTTAATTTGATTTTGAAGTGTTTTAGGGGTGAAGGGTGAGCTTGGATGGTCTTATTTTATCTTCCTTTTTGTTATTTTAAAATACTGAAAAAGAACAAAAAAAAAGGATTTGCAGACAACTGACACTCATAACAAGATAGAAGAAAAAAAAGTACACTTTCATATGCTAAAGTTATATACAAATCCAGACTGTATACAAATAAAATTAATACCTTTTCCTTGTTTGAAATGTCTGTTTTTTGGTCTTTTTCTTTAACTGATGATTGCCAAGGTGTACTTTCTTTTTGAAATGGGATTTCTGTATCATGGTCACTCCCTAGACTTTCCTGGTCACTAGCTGTTTCATTCATAAAACAAATCTGGAGGTTCATCCCACTCTGCAATCTGGTTGAAAGACTAGGTTTTTTAGTGACTCTTTCTCCACAGTAGTAATCCTCACTATCCGAGTCCATAGCAAGCTTTCTACGAATTTCTTCTCGGTCATGCTGCCGCTACAAAACAAGATAAGTTGTATAAATGACATAACTAACTTGTTCTTTTTATCATTTTGACATTATACATTAACTGGGATAAAGTTTAATTATCTAAGTTTCAAGTAAAAGTTCAGTAGAAGTTTGCTGATTGTTTAACCTAGGCTTCATCTGAATGATTAGAAGTTTCTTCTTCACCCATAACTGTAGCTCACACTGTGGTAATTCAAACTATCACATAGTTTTCAGTAGATATGTGCTACTTAACTTTTACTCACAATTTAGGTATTGAACTTTATTTAAACTTTCACAATCTACTGTGTAATATTGAATGGAATAGTTCTGAAATTATCTTAATAAAGACATTACATTTGCAATATCCATATTTATGAACACAAGTAACCTATTCACAAATGATATCATTCTTCACATTAAGATTCTCAACTCATGTCCAAAAAATCCTACACTCATAGCTATGACAGTGCTTATCTTTTCTATTATAATAAACACACACATATTAATGCTTAACAATAACTAAAATTTCAAACATTTAAGTTTCACTTTTGAAGCATCTAAAGCACAGACTTCTGCAGAACATATAAAATTATACTTGTGAAATACAATCAATGTTATAAAAAAGTGTTAAACTATGTAAGTAGTGGTTATTTGATTTTTTAATACAATAAATTGCATTAAGAAAGATAAAGCTTAAATAAGTAGATTAAAAAAAATTGTAAAGAACATTTTCATCTACAGTGTAGTGAAATGAATTTACAAAAATGAACAGTTTTGTAAGTAACATTGTTAAGTAGGTTATTGTCAAAAATTTTCATTTACCTCAACTCAAAATAGATCCACAATAATACATACCAATTACATCACCAAAACCTTTAGTTGCAAATAAAAACTCAAACACAAGTCACACATTAATAGCCATCATTACATGTAGCACATTAAAACCTATACTATGAACTTCTAAATTATTTTTTGACAAACATATTTAGAATTATATGCATGCAAGAAAAAACAACAACTTAAATTTCAAAATAAATCGTTTATGCACAAAAATATAAAATAAAAAGTTTAATCATGCTTATCAAGATACGTGGTAGTATGCTGCACAGCTAAAACAACCTGCAGGACACACTGTGTATTACTAACAGGAGTGATAGTTTAGCAATTTTCCACCTTCTGTAGCTCAGACTGTGGTAATTCAAACTATCACATATTTTCATAGATATGTGCTACTGGAAAGTTACTTCATATACCAAATTTCAAGATAATCCATTACTAAATATACGAGATATAAAATCACCAATTTTGATTTAATTTTTTCCTTTGCACTGAAAGTATGGAAAATATATTTGATAGAAAAACATACTTAACTTTTCTGGATTTTTTTCAAATTTAGTATTCAAATAGATCTTTACAACCTACAATTGGGTGTCAAATTTGGTTTAAATATAAGGCACATGTACAAAGTAATTCAACAAAAACTGCTCAAATATGACCAAACTTTTTGCACATGCCTACGCAAAAAGTCACATGAGCTATCAGTCTGAAAGTTTTACTACAGCTTCACCAAAGAGTAAAAGTGGACCATATTTAGTTTTTAGTCATTTGGATTAACCCTTTCACTACGGTTGGGACAAATGTTTCCCATTGCCATTCAAAATTGCCATGCATGATGTATGGGAGTAAAATGAGTTAGAAAGTATTTATTTGCATCTCACCTAATGTTGATATATGGTTTCCCTCAATGTTTTCTACTCAGCCCTTCATTAATCAACAAGATGCCCAAGCTGAATATACAACAACTGCGATCCAACCGTGTCCTCATTGCTAAAGCCACAAGTAGTAACCCTAATTACTATATAAATATGCTTGATAGCTTGATTCGGATAGTTTAGAAGATAGTGAAAGTAAGTCAAGTGGTGTTCAAATACGTGATAATGAAGAGGCAAGGAGACCAGAGGATGCTAACTCTCCATTTAGTGATGATAGTCAAGATAACGTACCTTGACCCAGCAGAAGAAGGTGTAAATAGCATTGAGAATGGGAACATTTGTCCTAGTCGCAGAGTGAGGGGGTGGGAGCACTGAGAAATATACGTCCCAGTCGCAGTAAATGGGTTAAACACAATTAATTTAAAGCAGCTAAACTACAAAGTGAAAGGATGTGCAGATACATAAGTATTGGTTAGGCCAAGCAAACAACTAGCTTATGCAAAATATCAGTTTTTTTTTCTATTAAGTCTTAAGGTTTGTTAAGCAATGTTTTTCTCATGTTGCCTACCCAACATGTAAAGTAATTTTCATTTTAAGATTAAAAATACTTTTATCCATGATAAAATGTTCAAATTTCACCTGCAAAATCTTTATAACATCTAGATAGTTATTAAATGTTTCTTAAGAAAACTATATTTTATCTGATATTTTCACTAACAAATCTCTGTACAGGTTTGGTCAATTTGACCAATCCTCTTGTAACCACCACAAAAATTTAGGAAATAAATATAAATTATGTCTTTTTCATTCTAGAATGACTACAAATTATACCATGAAAACACAAATGTTTAGACTAAATAACTTAAATCTCATAACATTATACATTTATATATATTTATCATTATCATATTATATTG